GCATTTTGTCTCATAATTTCAACAGTCAGCAGTCCAGTATACAAAGCGTTGAATGAAAACTGTTGCCAAAACCACATTTCTAAAAGAATGAAACTATTCAAAATGATGCGATTTCATCAAAAAAGACAAAATAAAAAAAAACCTGATTCGAATTTTGAATAATTCGCTTCGAGGTGCCCTGGCTCTTGTCTAGATGCACCTAAGTAGTACCAAATTTCGTAGCCCTGGGTCTATTAGCGTACGCGCAGCCCGAACGACAGACACACAGATTCTTATTATATGTAGAGATTAGCGAAATGATTTTATTTTTTTCCTCGTATACTACTATTGATCACCATTTTTGAAACTTGCTTTTCTTTTAAAAGCTTTTCCAAACGCTTTTGGTTAAAAAAATTAGTTTATTCAAAAACGTGGTACACGTGAAAATAAATTTACATGATTATTCGAACACATTTAACAAACAGTTTATATTTAATAAAAATATGCAAATAGCGGGACCTCAATATTTCATTGGATAGAACTCTAGTTAAAATTACACTTTTCATGCAGTTCTGCATGGATTTAATTTTTTAGTGTAAGAATGTTGAACTTTTTCGATTCCTCCGTAAGAACTTCTTTTAGTAGAACTTTCGAAGAAATATGATATTTTCATATTTTCTCCAGTTCACTCCTCGCATGTTCGATAGGATTTAAGTGCAGAGAATATGCAGAAGTTTTGATAACTTCAATTGTACAATAATCACAAGCGAATATTTAGAGCTGTATGCTTAAGATCATGATACTGAGAAAATGTGAATGTATTTTGCATTCTAAGTTATCACGCAGACTGTTTTAGGTTTGCAAGGCTCATTTCAACTATCTAACCCTTTATTTGAATTTAAATTAATTTTCTATCAAGCTTTATTTCATTTCTCTACCAGAATGTAAATTTTCAGTACGCGCGATATTTAAATTAGGTAGAAAGAAAGGAGTATTTAAAGAAAGGTTTTGGAGGGTAAAATCAGAGCTTGTTCCGCCTGCTTGAAGGCCACGTTGCTAACTTCGATCATCTAGCGATTAGAATTCTGCGGCGTTGAGTTATCCTTGCCATTAGGCTTATCTACGCCGACTTAAAACTTCATTAATTTTGAGTTTATCAATTTTATTTGATTTTAAGCCAAAAGTGTTGGTGTCATGTTGTAGCTAATTTGTAGGGTTTTGCCATGTTAACATTGGATAGAGCTGCTTATATATTTTGCTGAATTAGTAACAATTTCCAAATGCAGACGGCACGTCTTGTGATGTATATTACTTTAAAACGAAAACTCTCGACAATTAACATCGCCTGTTAAAATATATCAGCAAAACCTTCAAATGTCTGAATTATTATGTGAGTTACTGACTAATACGTTTTAAATAAATTATTGCTAGGAATGTTTCGATTATACTTAATTTGTAATAAGCAAGGCTTAAAAAACGAAAAATGTTATACTATAAAAAAAAGTCTGGAGTCTATGCTTCAGTATTTAGTAACAGATTTATGCAAATGAATTTAAAAAATAAAATGTCTGAAAACAAAAGTGAGCCATTTTATAACTTATTTAAACGAAGAACTTTTCAAAGTTTGAAATTCTACGTAGTTAGCAAATTTAATTTGTAACTTTTATGTCATATGACATTCAAAGCTGCAAATCTTTAAATTTAATCTAGTTTTTCACTTTCGAACTATAAACAGCGAACACTATCCTGACTCAAATCGCATTAAACCTACTACAGCCTAATAGTGAGACGCGAAGCGTTAGCTTATATGGATCGGTATTCCAGTTTCGCTAGCGAACGTGCTATTTCGAGAATGTTTGAGAAACTCTGCCTTAAATAAATAATCTGCGACTTCCCAGAAACTACTTCTCTTTCATCGAAAAACAAGATCTGCATAAAAAAGTGGAAAAAAAGAAACTTTTTCCGTTTTGTTTATCTTCAGTGATGGTTTTCGAGTAAGTCTCGGAGCAAACGATTTTAACAGCACAACGAAATGAAGTGAAATGAGATTTTCGTAATGGTTACGGTCTACCGGGCGAGCCATTAGAATGCAATTTATTACGAGGATTATCTGTATTCGCTCTCTAAAGATTTGCTTAAACCGAGTGACTAAGAATGCATTTCGCAGAAAGCAATGAAGGCATGAAATTAGCTTGTTTGCAATTTAGGAAAACAACGTTAAATTGCCTGAGAGAAGATTCACTCAATTGAAAATATTTAGATTACGGCTTGCAATAAAGTTTTAGCATCTTATTAAAGTTTAATACTACAGAACATTTATACATCACAGAATGATACGAATTATTCCTTCCAAAATGACGAAGGAATATTTTAGGACTTTTATTACTCGTCTTTTGACAGTAATAAAACTTCTAGTTTCTTTTCTGACTCGTTCATTTCAAATTATTTTAGGATTCAAGAAGTTTACAATTTAGTCGTAAAATTTATTTACTCATCTATTGTAAATGGCTGATTATAAGTGATTATTTGTTTTTCAGGTACTCTTTGACTCAATCTAGTCTTAACTAAGCACGAAACCCTAAATGCATTAAACAATTATTTTCTCTCATGAATAAATATGAATGTCATTGCTGTGAATAAGCAAGAAGAATAAACATCGATTCAGTAAGTTTCATTGCAAAGATTTTCAGTTGCTTTTCCACTGAAGTGCTAAAATTGTTTGTAAGACGAACAGTGGCACTTGCTTCAAAAAGAATGGCAGAGCAGACGTTGGATCGAAGATTGGTAAATTTGTTTTCTAACAGATATTTGATTCGTTTAATACTGGTGTCAAAAGCTCACCTTAGGAGAATTCTGTCAATTTCCACTAGAAATTAATCACTGTCGACTGGAATAATTACATGAGTTCCTATTTTTGATTTTACACATTTATCTTTTTTCCTTGCATTAATTTTATATTTAATAAAATAACCATTTTTACATGAAGTTATATGTATATATAATAAGTTTTGTTATTATGAACATAGATCTGGTAATACAGAATTAGCTGAGCCCGACTTTCCCCATACTATAAAAACATCTTCGGAATATTTTAAAGATGTTGCTCACGAGATCAACAAACATCTGAGGACATCCCTGGATATATATTGGACTTCCCTGATACGTCCTCCAGTGATCTTACTGTCATGTCCCTGTATTTGCCCAGGACTCTTGTTAGATCCCATTATGAACGCATAGGATGTTGAGAACATTTGAAGGTTTACTTTCCATATCCTCTAGACATCCTGGAATATCCACTTGACCTCCTAAACACATCCTCCGAAGTAACTGATGTGAAATGTCCTCCAGGACATAGACAGTATACGGGATCTCACGAGGATTTAAAAGTTCTCCTTAACGCGTGCTCAAGACATCCCGGAATATCTCCATATTCTTCTAAATATATCCCTCAGTGCTTAATGTCTCATCTCAGTATAGCCCTAGGTCATCTTTTCTAGATCTCATTATAAAAGCACAGGATGTTATGTGGAGATACTAAGTCTTACTTACCATATTCCCAGGACATCTTGTAATATTCCCCTAACCTCCTAGATGCATCCTCTCAAGTACTTCATGTCTCATCTCAGTATATTCTTAAGGTATCCTCATAAGTTCTCCCAAACAGCGTACGAAATGTCACGAGGAATTAGAATTCTAGTTAACGCATCCTACAATATACGGCTAACCTGCTAAACACATTAAGTGCTTAGTGCCACATTCCAGTGCATCCCCAGGGCATCCTTTTTTAGATTAAATCATGAATGCACAGGATGTTATGAAGATGATATTGTACCATATATCATACCAAATATATTGTACCATATTTAATATCTAATATAAGTCTCATATTCCTTAGCGAGAAATTTAAAGGAAACTTTCGTCATTTACACTGCTGCAGCTGAAGAAGCAAAGTTCTGTCTTTAAATCTTTGAAACTAGTCATGCAAGTTTATGAATTTTACGCTGAATTTTTACATCTTAGCACCTTTAATAATCGTCATTCGACGTGTTATTTTAACTAAACCAAAGACTGTAGATCTGTAACTAACTTTTGAGTTAATATTTAGCAGTTCAGTTTGTTTTGAACATCCTCTCTAGTACATTACATTTGTAACGTAATACCATACATCTAGCAACGATGGAATATTTTATATTTGAACGTTAATATAACATATTGAAAAATATGTATTGTAGGAGTTAATTTTAATTTTCTAATATTTATTTTTATTTTGGAAAAAGCCTTTCCTTTACTTTTTGGTATTCCACCTACGTTTCCTACCAGAATGAGTTTTTAGGATTACGTTTCATGTAAATGAAGTAGAAACAAGTATTTAAACTGAAGTCTAGGTCACTACAATAGAAGAGTTTAGAAGAGCGTAGAAAAGAGTGTCTACCTTTCGGCCACGTTGTTGCTGTTAGTCTAATCTTACTGCTATTCGGCGTATTGCTAAGTGACAGCTAGTATTCACCGGTGATCTTAAATAAGGGCCAAATCTGTTAGATAATTTCGTGCAGCTTCATGTGGTTTTATTTTAGTTACTATTCAATTTGTTTCTTACTTTCTATCTTGAGTTAAAGCCCAAATGAAGGCTTATTGTAAGCCCGAGAAGGGGCCATCTGTTCAATTATTTTGAGTTGGAATAAAGGTAAATTTAACCCTTATTTGAACTCTTACTGAATAGAATTCTGCAATAAGTTTTTCGATATTCTACTCCCGTCCAAATTGCCCGGGTCCAGTGTTTATTGAATCTTCAAAAATAGCATTGGACATGGCTAAACAAGGACAGATATACATTAGTAGTTATTTACATGCTTCTGTTAATACATATTTGCTGACATACAATCCAGTTCTGTTACATACATATACTTTCTAAATACATACATGACATTACCTTAATTTGCTTTGGAATAATAATTTGTGATAATATGTATTAATTATATACTGAAATTAATAATTATTTCTAGAACTCATAATATACTAACCTGATTCCTGAGCCAGTATGTTGGTCACGGCGGGTGCAACAGTACTTGTATGTGACGGTTCCACAGCAGTAAACGGTCTCTCCGTTGCCCATTCTGGGACAGTCGAAACCGGTATTCCATTTTCCAAATATATCTGTATAACCAGAACAGAAATCGGCACCCAGAACTGGAAAAAGGAAATCATTGTATTATAGAGCAGCTTTTTTAAATTTAAGCACTTACATGTTATTATTTCTATCAAACACAATTTTGAAACATGTCTCAAGCTGCAAAATATTTCATATTTTATTTCGCAGGCAATTCCAGTTCTTTATGCTAGCGCTTCTTAAACCGTGGGTCGCGAAAATTTAATTCAGATACACGAATTGAAATTAATTGCTAATTGCAATTTTCTCATTACCTTAACATCATAATACTGACCAAGTTGAGTTGTAAATTATTTATTTAACATATTGAAAAATAGCACTAAACACATCTTAATGGCGCTTCAGCGCATTTTCAGCATATGAGTAATTTCAGAAACAAAATATCACGGCATTTAAACGTCCTATGAGTTTATATACCGTGGCCTAGGTTTATTTAACTATGGTAAAGAACGCGAGGGCTATCTATTTTAAGGGGATGGATATCTTCGTGGAGGACTTTCTGAGGGTAACTTTCTCATATATATGTTGCAAATGCAGAAAACAACGAAAATGCCCGTGCACCCAGCCCGTTAAAAATCAAGCCCAGGTCGGAACTACCAGTGTTCAGCGACTGAACCGCTCGGCCGCTGATGGGATCATCGTCACGAGAATAAGGTAAAAATATTCGCTGGACTAGTGTAATAAAACGTTTTTACAATATAGGTAGTTTTATCTGCTTCATCGCAAGACCAATACAATATTTATCATACGTGCTATTTATTTATATTTTAGTATAAAAATATTGTCTACCATCGAATAAATGGTTAACCTCGAATAACAAAGGCCAAAGGCAAAGAGGCAAATGGCGATGCTATGCAGTATACTCAATCAGGACCCATTAATCAGAAAGAGGGATCTGTGATGTGAAAAGTAAAATACCATGAGACAATTATCCAGTTGGCTTTGCTTTCAACAGCTGTAATAGTAAGGAATGAACTTTTTGTTTAGTTTTGACTAAACAAAATGTTTTGACTATGAATATGAAAACATATTCATATATGCTGTGAATTATGAAAAGAGAATATGAAATCAACAAAATTAAAAAGGCATCTTAAAAGCAAACATGCATCGCATTTGAGTAAAGGAAAAACACATTTCGAGCGACTGCAAAAATATTCGAAGAAAAGAAAATATTTTGAGTCATTTACGATGGTTAGCAAAGGTGTTTACTGCGAAGCCCTTAACTTATGGAAAGTATTTTATACCTAGTTGCATATCTGATTGCGAAAAATAAATATCGGATGTGGATACCACATGACTTCCTTGCACGTCTTATTTTGTTGGACTTCATTTAAACGTATTTCCTCGAATATTCAATCAGTTCAGTTCTCACTTCCAGGCAAGGCAAAGGTGCATAAAAACTCAATTTTCACTGAACATTTTAAAATACAGAAAATCATAAAACACTAGATAGAGTTTAAATAGTTAAAAAAGCTTTTTACAATTAAAATTAGAAGTTCTACGCAAAACAAGCAAGTCGGCAAGTCGGCAGGAAGTCAAAATTAAAAGTCAACAATGGATCCCTCTAGGCAAAAGACACTGACATTGGTGCACCAACTGACTTAATTCACTAGTCTACTAAAGGTTTCAAATGTAAACAAACATGGGCCTCGTTAGAAGCAGCGCCACTTTTAAATTTTCTATAATTCTGCAAATATTGCATGCATATTAACTAAATATTTTAAATGGAATAATAACGTTAACTGCAACATAAGAAGAACATATTAAACTACTTTTAAAGCAAAAAATGCACAATTTACCAACATACAAGAATAAAAATAACTGAGCTGATCTGGCCGGGTAACAGAGTGAGAATATATACACAATTAGTGGGGCCGATTGCAACGAAAAATGGACCGGCACAAATAGATGTTATAGTAAATCTCTATACAAAATTTCAACTTTCTACGGCTACTCGTTTTTGAGTTATGCGTGCGTAAGTACGTATAGATATCCCGAAAGAAAATCTCTTCTAATCTATTTTAAATCCATTTTACAATCAGTTTAGGATAAAGAGTGCTTTATTCTGTTCGTGAGACGCATAAACATCGTTGGCATGAACTCGAGAGCAATCGGAATGGTTATTTTCCATGAAATATGGTACCCGAAATTTTTCGCAATTACAATGCTTCTTTTACTTAAGTAAAAATGCATTCGCCATTCGAAAACACCTTGTATTGCTTGTCACGATTAAAAAGCAGAACTATTTCACGGCAATAACTATAGGAATAAAATATGCAAAATTCCATTTTCAGACAACATTGCTGTCACTAGAATTTCTGAAGTTTGCAACACTAACTCGAGGAACATAAAGAAAGCCCGAAATTTACAATTCATTTGGACGAAATAAATGATATTTCATGAATAGCTCAGTACGTAAATTAGGCAAATTTTTTAAAACTGTAAAATGAAAAAACTGGTTTTTAATACGCACAGATAGTGCAAAGCGATGAAAACATTCATTATAAAATCATTTGTGAAAATTCATGCTAATGATAATGTATTCATGGTAATGATACTGATTCATGGACAAGCCTTTGCAGCAGAAACATTAGCAACGGAATTGAACGATATGCTTCACGATCCTATCAAACTTAAGAACTTTATTAAAAACCGTGCCCTTAATAGTTAATTTTCAAATCTCGATCATTCAACTAATTTTCAAATGGACTCCGAATTCAAAAATACAAAAATGTGTTATTGCAAGCTTTATCAAGTTATCAAGCAGAAGAAATTTATGTAGATAATTAGATTAAAGGACGTATTAAAGTATTCGAAGTGCTACCTACCATTTTAACTGAACAAATACATGATATGGATGCTATTTTTCAGAATGATTTATGGTTAACAAACTGTGCTATTTTTAGGATATTTTTGAGAAACGTAATAAGTTTAAGAATACATTTACTTCGATTGATAAAATTGTAGGTTTTATTAAAAAGATCAACATGTCAAATCATGCATTCGAAATGTTTTCGACTATCGAAAATTTTGTAATTGAAACTATTAATTGCAAAACTTCAACTGCATTCAATTATTATAGACCACATAAAATTTCAGAAGCACTATTTTTCAAATAGTATTTTGATACTATTTAATTTCACAAAGTTATCTCGGATTCAAAAACCATTTATTATTGATTTAATGATATTATCTACCACATAAAGCCCAAGAAGAATTTCCTGACCTATCTAGTGGGGAAAAAAAAAAAAAAAAAAAAAAAAAAAAAAAAAAAAAAAAAAAACAGGAAAGACTGTGTTCCCCCAAAAATATTTGACTGAATCCTGGGAACTGAATGTCCCAGAATTTCTGAAGTGAATGGACTATTTCAACTTTAACGCTTATTAAAATCCAAATAAGGCTGAAAAACGTTGCAACGTTGCAGATGTCCACTGTCAAATCAAATATTGGACCAAAAATACGCAGAAAAAAAAAAAAAAAAAAAAAAAGAGTCTGGGAAGGTCTTATTAAAAGATATTTTCTTCAGTTCATTTCTGTATGTTTGAAACTATTTCTAAAAATACTTCTTTTCTTATGTTTATATCAAAGAAATAAGTTATTGATGGTAAAATTGTGAAAAATCTTCTATTCTGAGAATTTCAACTTTCCCCCCCCCTGTTTCATAATTACATTTCATAAACGCAGTTAAGTGTCCGTTTACCAATAATAACAAGAATTATTAGCTTCTTTAATTAGTATCGGTAAATCGAAGTGAATGTTGTTAATAATAAAAACAAAACTCTCAGTTAAATTAAATGGAAATATCAAAACTTTTAACTTCCAAAAAATTTATATTCACTACACTAGTCTCAAAAAATTTCAGTTAAATATAAACCTTAATAGTAGTAATTAATTAAATACCCTTAGCAGAATTAAAATTCGCGATAGAACAAAATTTTTGGGGCCACTTAAAAGAAAGTACCAAATTTTTGAGGTACAGAAAATTTTCAGTTTGCTTTTTGTTTCAACGAAATGTAACTTTACAATAAGATCAGCGGATAGAAATTTCACGGAATTATGTTTTTTTATTTAAAATTAAAAAATTTTGATAAACTATTTTATTGATAGTGAGAGTCAGTATGCAATGGTGCCCTGCGCATGTAAATAAGAATTTATCTGTCAGACACTTGAAATGGTTTGAAAATTTCAAGGTAGGTTACCTTGTAGGGTTTATATTATTTTAACTAACATTTATTTTAAGTTTAAACTATCTTTCCTGTCAAGCCTTACTTTCCCCTGGAATTGCCAATGCCAGAGTATGTAAATTTTAGTAGAACGCGCAAAGTATTCAAATTTTCAGCGGAAGTATTTTGAGTTAAATAGAAGGGAAACGAGTTCGTAAGGTGTGCTTTCTTGATTCACGAGCGTGAAGGTTGCTAGGTAGAAATTGAAGAACCGCGCGTTTCGGCCTGTGTGCTTGCTCGGCAGTTAGTTGAATCTTTCAACTTCTTATTCAGAAAGTTTGCTGAAATCTCAGCTGGTATCTTAGAACGCGGTTAAGGTTAGTTACGTTTATAGAGCCTCGTAGGTAGTGACTTGTTATTTATTCATTGTTATTATTTTTAGTTGTACTTTTCTATTTTATTTAACCGCCGGGTCGGCGTAGTTTGTGAGCGTCAAGTGCACGCATCTATAACTTCTAAAGTGGAATAAAAAGGGAGTTAAACCCTTCTTAAGAGTTTGTGTACTTTCCAGTTCATAGCAGTCACTACTATTGTTGCGGGCAAAGTTGGGGGCGCAACATCACATTGGCGCCCGAACACTTGTCGAACTGAAATGGCCGAAAACTGGATGGAAGCTCCTGGACAAGTCCAACAACAAGAAATGGCAAGCCAATTGGAAGGATTTGGATACCTGGTCCAGACGATGAGAGCATCAATCAAGCCAAACGTCAATTTCGACGGAAAAAATTCGGTGGCGATATTCTTAGAAGGTCTCGAAAATCATTTCCAGCTCTACCCTGTGCCTGAAAGACAAAAAG